AAAAAAAAAAAACTACAATGAGATACCACCTCATACTTGTCAGAATGGCTAAAATCAGTAACAAAGGAAATAACAGGTGTTGGTGAGGATGCAGGGAAAGGGGAACTCTCTTGCACTGTTGGTGGGAATGCAAACTGGTGCAGCCACTCTGGAGAACAGCATGGAGGTTCCGGAAAAAGTTAAAAATAGAACTACCCTATGATCCGGCAATCATTCCTAGTTTTAAAAAAGGAAGAAAAAAATTCATAAAAGATGCATATATAGAGAAAGATGTTTATCATAGTTTTATTTTAAATTGCAAAACTTTGGAAACCTAAACGGTTAATAATAGAGCACCTATTAAATAAATTCTGGTCAATCATATGACAATCCTTAGGAAGTCATTTCAATCATTTTTTTAGTAATTTAATTACATCAGAAAATTCCTGCAGTATAATAGTAAGTGCACAAGGATCAACACAAAGTACACCACACACTGCAAAGTTTGTAAGAGAAAAATAGATATGCAGAATGTATATACTCTAAGAACTCACAGTAAAGGGTTAACAGTGGTTATCTCCGAAAGGCTGGTAGATGAGTTTAATTTTCTTCCTACTGTTTTTGTAGAAAATCTCGTATTTTCTCTAATGACAGTGCATTACATTTGTAACTTTCTTTGAGAGAATGTTCTTTGTAAAAAAAAAAAAACATAGTGGGGTTTGGGATGATGTATGGAAGTGTTATATCACTAATAACAGCAGTAGCAATGGCAACAGCAGCTTGCACTTACATAGTGCATGCCAGGTAGTGAATGGAAACCAAGCTATGAGCCCACACTGAGCTCTGTCTTGGTAACATCATCCGTACACAGTCCGGTCTCTGCCCAGATGAATGTTTTCCAGTGTAGAAAATCCACTGAAGCCAGAGATGTTTGGCCAAGGGTCAGAGGGGAAACTAGCTGGCTTTAGTGGGCACTCACATGAGCTACACATGGTACTTAGATGCCAAGCACTGGAAAGAATATGGGATTTGAGAGCAGCCAGACCTGGATTCAAGTCCTATGGCACTCACTTCCTGTGTGACCTTGGAGAAGTAACTGAAGCTTTCTGAATCTCAGCTTTCTCATAAAGAGAGTAAGAACACCTCGCAGGGGGATCAGCCATCATGAGAATTAAAGGTGACAGCACGTGAAAGTGCCTCACGTACAGTAGGTGCTTGGGAAATACCACTCTCCCCTTCCCTTCAATGCTATCGCTGACTTCTTAGATTCTCTCTCCTTTATTGTTGGTGTTACTATATGGCTCCTGGTTTTTGCATCAGAAACAAAACAAAACAAAACAAAAAAAGGATGACAGCAGATAAGCAAAATAGCACTTGGCTAAACTTGCCCTGTGTGCAGATCAAGTCACTAGTATCTGTGTGAGTGAATGAGGAATGAGAAGGTGAAGTATTGAACAGGTGAATGACAACATGCCCAGAGAATGATGCTCTTACACCAATTTGTCTGCTTCTGTCTTTTCAGCTTATCCACTCACCAAATGCCCTCCTCCCACCATCCTCCCCAACGCCGAAGTTGTCACAGAGAATGAAGAATTCAACATAGGTACGCCCTCCCAAACCAGCAAGGACTGGGCAGGCAAAGAGGGGCCAGGTCAGGGTGGGGCTGGCCAGCAAAGTGCATCTCTCCCTCCCAACCATGGAGAGAAACAGTAGGCCCAGTGCAAGATGGCTGATGTTCTGTCAACTGAGTCTGCTCCAAAAATACAAACGCTTCCTTTTAGCCATCACTAGGCAGAGGAGACAGGAAGGCAGTTTTCTTCTGTGATTCAAGTCAGTATGTTTTTGAGAAATAAGTCCACACAAGGCATTATAAAAAGTTCCTGGAATGTGGAGGCTCAAGGCTGAGCTGTGAGAAGCACATAGCCGTTTTCTGGGTCATTTGATTGGAGTTGACCTGATTATTTAAGTCTGAAAAGAACACAACCCATCACTGATTGATTTGCCTGGAAGTGGATTTAAGTACTAAGGGGTACCCCGTCCAGACTTCTCCAGGGAATCCCCATGTTGGTCTCTCTTTGGCAGGTGACATCGTCCGCTACAGGTGCCTCCCTGGCTTTACCTTAGTAGGGAATGAAATCCTGACCTGCAAACTTGGAACTTACCTGCAGTTTGAAGGACCACCCCCAATATGTGAAGGTAATTGCACAGAGCCATGCCTTTATGGGTCTCAAGTTCCTCCAAAACAGAGCCTTTATCTTACTCTTCCCTATCTTCCCAGTCCCTGCCCATAAAGTAAGAGGTCATTTGGTGAATGTTTGTTTATATGAATGAATGATTGCTCTAGAGAAATTTTCTGTCCTACTCTTAGGTCTGGGCTACAAATTGCCATGGTAACCACTTGTATCTTTGTCTTCCTTTTTTCTAACTGGTATTGTCTGGAAGTGGCACACTGATCATTGGAAGGAGGAAGTTCTGGGACCTCAGGGAGAGATGGGCTTGCACACCAACCTAGCCCTACTGGAGTGCAGATGTGCTTAAGGTCCTGTGTGCTGAACTTCATTCCAATGTGACACCTTGACAGAAAATGAATTGGCTTCACCAAGTGATCCTTACTAAGACCAAAAACAAACTCTCCACTCAAAAAGCATCTGACCTAGGACAAGATATTTAACTGTCCCATGCCTCAATTTTCTCATCTGTAAAATAAAGATAATAATATTACTTATGCCATGGACTTATTGTGAGGAATTAAATGGATTAATAATGTAAAGCACTTTAGAACTATGCCTGGCACATAGTAACTGCCCAATGTGGGTTATTATTTTTACTAGTACTACTACTGCTTCTGCTACTAGTGCTACCAACAAATATTTAGTAGTCTATGGAGAAACAGGTCAGCTTCTCCCCCACTTCTCATAAGGTGAGAGTAGAGAATCCACAATATGGATTGTTAGTGAGAAAGAAAGAAGCCGCAGCCCTAGAATTAGCTGCCCCGATACACTAAGAAATTCATTATCTATGAGTTGAGCTGACCTACCCACACACCAAACAACCAGCCCCCTATAAAAGTGGACTTTAGCTTTGATCCTGCTCCAGAACTTCCCTGCTTTGCTCCAGCCTTAGTTTCTCCTCTCTGGCTGTTTCTGTGTCTACATGGCTCCAGCCTTCTTGGCTTTACTCCTATCCTCAGCCTCATGCTTCCGTCTAGGACTTGGTATTGTACTTGGCTTCTCAAGATGTGACCCTTCGCTGGCTTTTTTATAATAACAGCTTTATTGGGATAGAATTCATGTACCACGCAACTCATCCATTTAAATCACTTCAGTGATTTCTAGTATATTCAAAGTGTTGCAGCCATTAGACAATTTTAGAAGATTTTTGACACCTCAAAATGAAACACTTTACCCGTTAGCAGTCAGCTTCCATTTCTTTCTAGCCCCTCCCCCCCAACACACAGTTCTAGGCAACCACCAATCTAGTTCATGTCTCTATGAAACTGACTATTCTGGATATTTCATATAAATAGAATCCCACAAGAATTTTTTTGTATGCTCAGGAAATAAAAATAAAATCTAATATTGGTAAAGAATGGAAATATCTACCACATTCATTAAGAAAAAAATGAATACAGGTAGAATGGTTCAGATGCAAAAAGTAACAGTGAGCTAAGAAATCGGTAAAATAGGGTAGTAAATCTAAACAATACTGACCATAGTAAATTTAAAAATATACACACACAACTGGACAAATAAATGACATTGGAAGAAAGAAAAAGCAAGCTCAGGACCCTTGCTTGTTGAGGAGAAGCATAGATATTGATTAACCCTCTATGTTAGTTAAATATATAAATTAAAAATAAAGTTTAAATTTATGGATAGTTTTTTTGAAATTATGGATAGCCACAGTATGTTTAAGTTCTAAATCCATAATCAAAAATAAAGATAAAGAGAACTCAATCAACCCAATAGAAACATTGAAGGAGAAAAAAAATCATGGTAAACAGAAAACACAAAATAAGGTAGCAAATCTAAGTGCAAATATATGTGTGACCATAGTAAATATAACTGAATAAAACTGCTAATCAAAGGAAAGAGACTTTCATATTATTTAAGTAAAAAAAGTTTAATTACAGGCTTTCTATAAACTTAGACTTGAATATCTTCATCTGCCTCCCTAAAGACATAGCTAGAAAGGTATCACTCATCCCTGGTATGAAACAAAACTTTGAAAAAGTAGTAAGTACTAACCTCTAAAATCTGGTGTAGCAAAAATCCATCAAAAATATATAACAGTCATAAACTTCTATGTACCTACAATATAGGTTTGAAATATATAAAGGAAAATTAGCAGAATTTTAGGGAGAAAAGGACAAATTCATAATTACAGTTGGAGATTTCCACACACCTCTTTCAATGACACACCAAAAACAAGTAGGTACATATAATATTTGAATGATATGGTTTTGTCAGTCAGTAAGTTTTTGCTGCATAAAAACCCTGCCAAAATTTAGAGGTTTTAAACGGTAACCACTTATTTCCTACAACAGATGCAGTTTAAATATAAATACCAGATAGATTGAAAGAAAAGGAAAGAAAAAGATATATCATTGAAATGGCAAACATAAGAAACATAAAGAAATTTTGGATAATACTGTAAGCAAGGAGTATTGCCAGAAATAGATTTTAAAATGACAAGAGTTAATTCCATTACAAAGGATATATATGTTATATGCAGATGATAAAAGAGCTTCAAAATACATGAAGGAAAAACTGACAGAACTAAATGTGAAAAAGAAAAGGCAAACTACAGAATAAAAGAAGATATTCATCATACATATATTTTCTAAAGGACTTGTATCTAGGCTATGTAAAGAACTTTAACAACTCAATAATAAGACAGTCCAATAAAAATATGGACAAAAGACTTGACTAGACATTTTACAAAATAAGATGTATGAATAGCCAATAAGTATACGAAAAGATGCTAAAACATCATTAGTCATCAGGAAAATGCAAGTTAAAACCCTAATAAAGTACTACTGCATACCCACTAGATTAGCTAAAACTTAAGACTGAAAATACCAAATGTTGACAAGAATGTGGAACAAGTGGAATTGTTATACAAAGCTAGTTGGGATATAAAATTATACAGTCACTTTGGAAGACTGACTGGTAGTTTCTTTCAAAGTTAAACATACACCTGCCCTACCTCCCAGCAATTATACTCCTAGTTATTTTCTCAAGAGAAATGAAAACCCATATCCACAAAAGGACTTGTATATGAATTCCATAATAATCCCAAACTGGAACCAGCCTAAATGTTCATTAATAATAAATACAATGAATGAATAAACAGATTGCTATGATTGCTACAGAGCAGTAAAAATAAATGAAGTGGTAATACACAAAATACCATGGATTGCCTCTTAGAAACATTATGTTTAGCAAAAGAAACTAGACACAAAAATAACATGTCTGATTCCAATTGCATGAAATCTAGTACAATCAAAACTAATCTGTTGTTATAGAAATAATATCAGTGATTTCCTGGAGCATGGGGCAGGTCATACTAATTAATTGCAGAGGCACATGAGAGAACTTTCTGGAGTGATGAAAATAATCTATATCCTGATTATGGTGGTGGTTACACAGGTATACACATTTGCTAAAACTCATTGAACTGCACACCTAAAATCTGTTCATTTATTGTACATAAATTATATCTCAAAAATTTTGAATTTTAAAAAGAAGTTGAGTTATAAAACAGAAAAACAGCCTTACTGATCAATAAAAAGAAGTACCTGGAACAAAGAGCTGCAAAATAATCGAACCATTAGATAAGTTAAACAAAGGGGGAAGGCAGGAATATACAAAAATAAGAAAGGGAAAGTGGGGGGCGCCTGGGTGGCTCAGTCGTTAAGCGTCTGCCTTCAGCTCAGGTCATGATCTCAGGGTCCTGGGATCGAGCCCCGCATCGGGCTGCCTGCTCCGCGGAAAGCCTGCTTCTCCCTCTCCCCCTCCCCCTCCCCCTGCTTGTGTTCCCTCTCTCGCTGTGTCTCTCTCTGTCAAATAAATAAATAAAATCTTTAAAAAAAATAAAGAAAGGGAAAGTGGGATATAACCATTGAAGCAAGAGAAAATTTTAAATTATGAAACTATCTTGTACAAACCTATGCCAAAAAATTAATGACATGAATGATTTTCTAGGAAGGTATAATATAATAAAATGGACCCCAGCGGATAGAAAGTTTATACTTTCCTAATTCTTTAAAAGAAATAGAGAATGTTATCAGAGGAAACCCCATCAAAGACATCAAGACTAGATGGTTTCATGGAAAAATACTACTAAACCTTCAAAGGTCAGACGTCTTGAGCATAATGGGAAAGAAAAACTTGTAAACACTAATGCCCAGATCTGATAAAGTTGCGCACAAAAAGGCAAGCCTGTGGACCAATCTCATTTGAGAAAGCATGCCTATTTCCCCTCAGTGGGGGAGTTTCAAGTAGAAAGGGGAGAGCTTCAAGAGCAGACCTGATACGGGCTGGAGTGTACCAGCCTAGGGGAATGTAAATATCACCACACCACACTTCAGGGACCTGTAGGTATCAGTTTAGTGAAATCAGGAGCATTTCAAAAACAAGGCTGTTTTTCTCCAAGAAGCCATTTGTTTTTCTTTCCCATTTACAAAATAAGAAGGAATTACTCTCTAGAGAAGCTAGTTAGTACCTTTCAAAATCTACTCAAAGAGGGGGTACCTGGCTGGCCAGTTGGTAGAGCATGCGACCCTTGATCTCAGGGTTGTGAGTTTGAACCCCATGTTGGGCGTAGAGATTACTTTTAAAAATAAAGTGTGTTGCAAAGCTACTCAAAGGAATCCGAGATGAGTTGTGTGAATTTGGGGCACAGCAAGCATTTTTTGTCTGTTAGCCCAGACTTAGTGCTGATTAGCAAGCCCCATTTCTGTGAAGGCAGAAGGTTTGAGGGAAGCAGTGGAGATGGGTGGAGAGTGCATGGCTAAATCTCTTCCCCAGAAGAGCCACATCTCAGATTATGATCCGGGGATTAGCCCTTGGCTTAGCAGTTCCAGAAACTCTCCTTTATCAGTGTCCTAGAATCCAATACATTCAGGAAGCCTGTCTAAAGGCACATACAGCAAAATCCCAATTTCTCCATTTGTAGTGATTGGGATACTTGCCACTACTGCCCGGGGCCAGGCCTCTTTCAAGGTCCTGAAGAAGTTGATTCAGTCCTCAGAACTTTGCTGTGGTGTCCTCAGCCCAAGCACATGGAGGGGGGTCATCCTGAAGTTTGTTTCACATGGGAGGTAGTGACAGGTCCCTGTACCCCCAGGAGAGAGCACCTCCCTGGTCTCCAGGATGTTCAGGGCCCCTTGGAACCAGTATATTCTCTCACCTCCCTGGTGACAGACACAGGAAACCCAATCTAGCTCCTCCAGCCACTCGTTTTCCAAGTTCTACATTGACTGTCTTCCTTGGGGTGACATGTTTTTCTTTAGTTATCTTAATACTACTAATCAGGCCACAGCCAAGCTCTGCTAGTTCCTTCTGTTCCTGGTATAATTACCATCATTATCATTATCATCTCTACAGTTTATGAAGGCACTATTTTGCATGCTTTATATATATTATTCCCTATAATATTATAGATATTATAATGTTAATTAATATACAATGATAAAATATGTTATATAATACAATAGCCTTGTAAGGCAGGTGTTATCTTTCTGCATCGGAGGTGGAGAAGCCATTGCACAGAGAGGAAATAATTTGTTCAAGACCACACAGCTAGTAAGGGACAGAGGTGGGCTATAAATCCAGGTGTGTTTGACTCAAAACTCCATGTACTTACCTCTGCCCAATACTCTCTTTGTACAAATCAGCCCCGCTTAATAGAATGACTCTTGGATTTGGGAATGCCTTCTCTTGTCTGTCTGTATGTATCATCTTCAGCTACTCTAAAGCCCATATCTGAGCTAGGAAGCGATGCCAACCAACTGGCCAGGCCTGAATCCCGGCAATATAGTAACATTGACACAGAAGCTGAGGTCACCTCATGCCATGGAGCAGTGTAATGATGGGCGTTGGGGTCTTGTTTGAATGTGCTCAAATACTCGTGTTCCAGTGGTTGTCTTTTGTACCAGGGAAATGTGTTGGCCCTGATTTCATTCTCCATCCCATGTACCTGGTATTTCTCTTTCTTTCTCCCAAGTGCACTGCCCAACGAATGAGCTTCTGACAGATTCCACAGGTGTGATCCTGAGTCAGAGCTACCCAGGAAGCTATCCCCAGTTCCAGACCTGCTCTTGGCTGGTGAGAGTGCAGCCCGACTACAACATCTCCCTCACGGTGGAGTACTTTCTCAGTGAGAAGCAGTATGATGAGTTTGAGATCTTTGATGGTAAGTCAGTCAAACGTTGAATAGTTGCCTGCTGCAGATGGCACAGATTTGCTTCAAAACTCTAGGGATTCGTGCTATTACTTCCCCCATTAGAGCTTCCCAGAGGCTCCATTCAACATCTTTCTCTACCACAGAAACCCCAATACCATGGGAGCTGGTGAATTGTATGGCCCACGGGGCAGGGATGCTTGTGTTCCCGCCTAGTCCTGCTACAGAACCCTTTCTTATTCCAAGCCCACTCAAAGCTGGCACCTTGAATGTCACCCAATAAATGGATCATAGCAGTATTCCCACATGAAGAGTATGCCACCTCTGAAACTCAAAGGGGTCTACCAAACATTGCGTTTCTTTCCTTGTAGTAGAAGGGAAAAGGCACACTAACTTCCTCTTTAATTTGGAGAGAATGTTTCAGCGTGTCCTCAAGTCACTGGGGAAATTTCACCTGCCTCTTTGTAGGACTTAATTTTACCCTCTGGAGCCATGTGTCTTACAAAAGCTTCTACACTAATTGTCCCTTCTGGCTCTTCAGAGGCAATTAATACGATGTCCTCATAGAGAGAACCAATATGCTATATTCTGCAGGATGTCCAGATGGTCCACATCTTTTCATTACTATATTCTGACAGTGAGCAGGAGAATTAACATAGCTCTGGGACAAGACTGTGAATGTATACTGTTGTCTATCTCACGTGAATGCAAATTGCTTATGATCCTCCTTTCTGGTGGGTCTGGAAAGAGTGCATTGCTAGATCAATAACTGCATTTCATGCAACCAAGGCTGTTAATCTGCTCTAATGAAGATACTACATCTGGCATAGCTACTGCAATCAAGGGCTACCACTTGGTTAAGTCGGTACCGTGAGATGGACCTGGGCCAGGACTCCATTCATTGCCAGCTCCAACCCTCAGACACCTCTATTCTAACAGAGGGGCCATGATAGCGCTTTGGGTACCCAGGTATCAGCATCGATTCACACTATGTATCCAAAATCTTTGGAATACCTGGACATTCCCTTTTCTCCACTATTCAGTTGCCTGAGGAAATAGCAGTAGGTTTTTTGGGCAGGGACTGGGAGAATCACTACTATATACAATTGATGTCATTTTGTTGGGTCCTTTTTCATGGGGACCCAGTCTCTCCTTCAGCCAAAGTGTTCTGGAATAAGATGGAACCTGGCTCAAGTCTCCAAACTGGGTGAGGGGTTGCAACTTTCCATTGGGGTCAGCTTTCCTCACTGTTTTGACTGTATGTTCATGATTTTTTTCATATATTCATATATTGAGGGGCTTCCCATCTATCTTGCCCTTAGGAACATCACGTTCTGTGAGACATCGCCATAGATCCTACAGGTTAGGCCCTCCCAGCTACCATTCCAACCTTGCTGCCCATGTTAGTAATTATGCGTCTCACTTCTGATTGTTGAGTGCCTCCACCTGGCCCCTGTATTCCAGAATCTTCTCATCTCCATCAACACTAGGAAGCCCAGTTCTCTGAGAGTATCTCCTTCCATCAGTTTAGGCTTCAGAGGACAGCTGTTACTCAGATTGTCAATGATGCTGGTGCTCACCCCCTCCACCAGTGTGTTCCTTGTTGCTTTAGGAAATGGAGTGTCCCCCAGGTCCTCCTGAGGGACATGGTCAGCTAGTGGGTGTCCTGGTCTGATGTGGTAGACCTATTCTGGCATACCACTTCTCTGAGCCTTTTGACCCCTTCCTTCATAGTTTGTCACAGCAGTTCTGATGGTTCTATTTTGTTTAATGTGGTCCATTAACTTTGCCAAGTTTCCACGAGCTGTCTCAGCAGATATCAGAACCATCACTCAGGGCTATTTCCAGGGTAATAATTCCTGTTATGGATTATCGAGCTTTATACTCTGCCTCCCTTGAACCAGCCACCTTTGATGCACTCCCAGGCATTAAAGGTAGGAAAAAAGAAGAGGGAGGGCTTTCTGGAAGAACCTTGGAGAGGAATATTGAGGAACTGTGTTATGTATGACATTGAGATACGATGTTTGACTATAGTTTTATTGCTATATATTCATTCAGTACATAGTTTTTCTATATGACAAGCACTGAGCTATTTTTAGTATGCATGTGAGAAGTAGGTGGCAAGGTAGAAGTTCCCAGTTTGCAAACCAGCTCTCTCATTAATCAGCTGTTTGGCCTTGGCAAGTCCCAAGATGGCAAATAGATTTCATCTCGCCTGCCAACTCCTGTAGGTTGGCAGTGACATCTGGGAGCATTGCTTTAGGGCTCCGGAGGAAAGAGCACCCAGCGCAGTGTCTAGAGATGCAGAGAAAGGACAGAATTACAGACCATTGCACTGACCCTGACCATCTCAGCTGAATGTCATCTCTTGAGGAGGAGAAGTGGGAGGTGGTTACATTTGAGGTATTGAACCAAGGAACCTGATCTCTTGCAGCTGTGCTAGTCTGTAACCCTGTGTCCTGTACTCTTGCCCAGGTCCCTCCGGACAGAGTCCTCTGTTGAAAGCCCTCAGTGGGAATTACTCAGCCCCCCTGATTGTCACCAGCTCGAGCAACTCTGTGTACCTGCGCTGGTCGTCTGACCATGCCTACAACCGGAAGGGCTTTAAGATTCGGTATTCAGGTGAGTAAAACATAAGGACACATGAGAAGGGCCACAGCCCCTGAGCCCCTGAATTTGCTTACCCCAAACACACAAGTAAGCCATGGGCCATATCCCCATCAGTGGCGGAGACCCTCCACGAGGACTGGCAGCCTCTCTCCTCTGAACCTCTCTCACTACAGAAGCACGAGTGTCCCTGACGGTCTCTACCTACCCCCTTCTGCTCCTTTCCCCACTTTAAGCTCTTCCCTGTCCTCTGCTCCTACTGCCAGCCTATCGTGTCTTTTGGATAAGTTTATTATATATCATCTGATAATGCCTCTAAGGTGATCCCATCCCCAGCACTGTTGAAATGTTAATACAAGTTCCTTAAACCTAAGGAGCCCTAAGACGTGGGTCTCCAGGTGGGAAGTGTTGGACAGTCAGCAAAGGATGGCCTATATTTTAAGTCCAGGGGCCTCTCTATTGCTCTGCCCGCCATAACTCCCCGGCAGAGGCAGACCCAGGGCCACGCCAGGCAGGCGGCTGACCAGGGCCGCAGTCTACAAGGAACACAGAGAGATGCCTGGAAATGTAAGGAGATGGGAAAAAATGGCATTTATCTGAACTCCCATCGTGGGGATAACTGTCTGTGGTTGGAAAGAAAACTTGATAAGCAGCCTGGTGCCCATTTTGAAGGGGAGTAGGTCCGCAAACCGGCTGGGCTCTGCAAGCATGGAGGCAGAGAGGAATTACTGAAGACCGCGAGGAGTTCTGGGAGATGAGGTTGAGGGGCGCCTGGAAAGAAGACCTTTACTATCTCAAAGTCCATGTTCTCTGCAAACTGAACCCGAAATCCCTTTCCCCCATGCACACGAGGGGAAGGGTGGCTTCACGACCCCCAGGGGCAGTGATCAGCTCTGTCACAAACTAGCCGAATGATTATTAGACAAGTGACTCACCCTCTCCAGGCTTCAGTGTCCTTGGGATGAAAGAGAAACCTTACAGCAGCTGTCGGGCAGGTTCCGGCAGCTTCTAGGGGGTTCCCGGCAGCTGCTGTCATGGGGGCGATACAACAGTGTGATGGTCACTACACTAGGAACTAAAAACCACCAGGAGTTGCCCTTTCCTTGATGTTTTAAAAGACTGATCATGTTTGGGGGTAATGAGTCAGTCATAACTGGAATACCTATTCACAGAAAGTTGATTCATTACATGGTGAAACCATTAGAACTTAATGAAAATATAGTAGACCTGTGTACTTTGCCCACGCAGCCATCACTATGACTCAGGATATTTTATAACTGAGACTCTTGTTCTGACTGAGGTAAACTCAGAGGTAGATCGATGCAGGGGGCAAAGCAAGAGCCAGGAAACACATCTGGCATGGAAGGGAGGTCTTTAAAACACCATTCACCAGCAGAGGGATGTGATCGCCCAATAGGAGGCCAAAGGATCTCACCTTGGGGTCTTCATCCTCCCCTGTCACATGCCTGCCTGGCAGACCGAGCCGGGGATTCTTCGAGCGAACAGAAGTCCATGTTCAGAGTGTTCCTTCAGTCACCCCCATTCCCGGCCTCACAGAGCATCCCCTGGGGATCCCTGGCAGGAGTCTTTTAGGGTCAGCCCCCTGAGGCTGAGATTTTTGCCTGTGTTCTTCGCTGTGGTATTCCCGGCATTTAGAACACCTCCTGGCACATAATAGACCTTCTATGTCTATTTGTCGAATAAACGAATGAAATCAGCTGAAGCCATACACCGAGGGGGAAATAGGAGTGTGGATGTGTGTCCTGGATTGCCATGCTCCCCCTCCCCCAACCCCCTACAACAGAAAGGAGAAGGGCCATTTATTGAGCACCAGGTGTTCTGCGCGAGGCTGGGGGGCTTTACAAACACAATCCCGTTTAAATTGTCCAAAAAACCTTTGAGGTGGGTGTTTCTAATCCCAATACACAGGGGAGGAAAGGGGACCTCAAAGAACTTCAGGGATGTGTCCCACGTCACAGACATGGAAAGGTCAGATCCAGGACCCCAGAGTCCACACCCCTGCAGTCACACTCTTGTGGAGCCAGCCATCCCCCGCCCCCCCTGCCCCCCGGCGGGGTCTAGTCCCTGCGCCTCTTTGGGAGCTGACAGGTCTCAAGAGCCTGAGCGCAGGGGCTCAAGCCGCACTGCGTCTGGGCCACGAAGGGGATCCTGTGTTTCATGGCTTTTTCTCTTCTTTCTTTGGCTTTTACTACACTGATCGGCCGTTTTTCAGTATCAACCACTCAGACCTCCCTAAATAGCAGTGGACCCGGCAGTGGCAGAGACAAGGCAATGGCGTGGGGGGGAGGGGGGCATGCAGGAAATCACACATCCTCCTGCTTGCATGTGGTCCCCTGAACCTCATCTTGTCGTCCAGCTCCCTACTGCAGCCTGCCCAGGGCTCCACTCCATGGCTTCCTTCTGGGCCAGCCCAGCACCCAGCCCGGAGGCTCCGTCCACTTCGGCTGCAACGCTGGCTACCGCTTGGTGGGACACAGCATGGCCATTTGTACCCGGCACCCCCAGGGCTACTACCTGTGGAGCGAGGCCATTCCTCTCTGTCAAGGTGAGGAGCACTTGGAAAGGGGGTGACAGGTGGCTCGGATCCTCCTCACATCTTGGGTTCGTCCCAGGACTGATCACTTCCAAATGTGGGTGTCCTCATTGATAATTAATTCATTCTTTCAGCAAACATGTATTGAGGATCCATAATATCTCGAGCCCTGGGGATATACATATGCATAAAACAGTCTCAATGTTTTCAGAGCAAGGAGGGAGGTGGATATGTAGCCACATAAATGCAAAATGGCAGAGGAAGGGAGTGCTGTATCAGGAGTACAGTGTTGTGGGAGCCCAGGGGTAAGATGGGACCTCCTCCCAGACAGCTAGGGAGGGCTCCCCTCTTCTGGGCTCGGGCTCATGGAGCAAGTGGGGTTTGGGGCCAGGCATTGGCAAAGAAAACATTCTAGGCAACAGCAAGAGCATTTGCAGAACCACGGACTGGAGAGAGATCACAGGATATGCAGAGCAGCTTGGGCTGGCGGAAGCCCTAGGTCAGAGGAGGCGAGGGGCAGAGGGCACCAGGAAGCAACAGAGGCTCACCATACTCATTGCCCGCAATCAAAGCCCGTGATCTCTACCAGGTGTTTGCATGCATTGCCTTTCATAATTGATGGGATTTGTTTTCCCTTAAAGTAACATAATTCAGACTAGAGATCTGAGGGGGAAAAAAACTATAGATAATGCAAAGGGTTGCTGGAGGGGAGGTGGGTGGGGTGGGAGAGGGGGGTGGGTTAAATGGTTGATGGGGATTAAGGAGGGCAGATGTGATGAGCACAGGGTGTTGCATGTCAGTGATGAAACAGTATATCCTACACCTGAAACTAATATTACACTGTATGTTAACCAACTGGAATTTAAATAAAAACTTGGCAGAAGAAAAATGACCTATAATCCCATCAACTGAGATCACTGGGTAACATTTCAACACATTTCCTTTGATCTTTTATATATTGTTTACAAAAATGGCATCCTCGGTGTACAAAGCTCTTAATATTTTCTTAACATCTGTCACATAATTAAATACACTTCCTCATCACTATTTCCAGTAGTTGCATACCATTATGGAAAAACTGTCACGTACTTAAGTATCGTCCTATTGTTGGTCATTTGAATTTCTCTATTTTTTGCTACTGTAAACAGTGCTGCTATTAAAATCCTTATAATTCCATCATTATGAACATCCACATTTATTTCTTAAAATAAATTCCCAGAAATGCGATTGTTGAACCATAACCTATGCAAAGTCTACAGCTCTTGACACTCACTGCCCTCCAGGACATTTGTCTTCACTTAACTTCCACCAGCATGTGAAAGTCATCTTTTCTCCCACATTCACAACATTGTGTACTGCATTAAAAAAAAGAAAAGGAAAACTTTGCTGATGATACAGACAAAAGCAAGAAATCACACTGATGTTTGATTTTCTTGTTCTTTGATTCCTAGTGTGGTGACGTCTGTCATCTCTGACCCTCACAACCTTCTCGCCTCTGCCTAAGCTTCCTCAAACAATGTGTCGTTAGCATTCTGTTTGATGCCCTAAGAATAGGTCCCAGAGAACAGACTGATCACAAATGGCAAATGTCATTTGGCTTTGGTCTCTGTGTCTCTAACTGTATCAACACAGACAAGTCTTTCTTCCAAAGCTCCAGTTGGAAACCACCATGCCTCTCATCTCTGTTTTCTTTTGTAACTTCCCAAAACTAAGCCCCTCCAGGCTTCTTTGTACTCATCCCCATACTAATTTGTACCCAGACCCAGCCCCAAGCTTACCACTGATGCCATTCCACTCAGCCATTCCCCCTGAGCTCTCTGGAATCCCGGTTCCGTGGCCAGCCAGCATACACCCTTGGTCACTACCCAGAGGCTGTCTTCACTTCCTTCCTCCACAGAGACTGGCTCTCCTCTAAGAACATGAATGCTGGGGCCCTTTCAAGTAGAGGGTCCCCATAACCCAGGGCCACGAAAGTCCCAGCATTCTCCCATTTCCATATTGCTTCTTCCAAACCATGACTTTCCACCAACAAATGTATCTCATTAGAGATCCTGTGCCTTCTAATGCTTTCTCTCTACTTCCCCAGCCCGTTCTTTTGCTACATATTCTCTCCCTCAGAAATCTCATTCCACCACCACCTTCAAATACTTGGATTCTGTCTCCTCCTCTCCTACCCACAGAAAGTGCCCCTTTTACCTTGGGGTTTGGGGACTCTTATGGCATGGAGATCAGGAGACAGGCTTTTAGTGTTTCGGGCTGGGAAGGTATCCTCTGTCCTCTTAGTTATCCACACGGGAAGAGCTGGGCCAAGAGCGATGAGAACAGTCTGCTGTCCACTTCCTTCACCTGCTGTCTCCAGATTGACTGACTCCTCATGCAAAATACCAGTAGGGATCTAAGTATTTCTTTAAAAAAAATCCAAGGAAGCAAGGCAGTTCATTGATCACAATTTGACTACCCTAGTACCACCAAAGGAGCTTACAGCTTTGCTGTTTAGGCACTAAAAGAGCATCATATTCAAATACTCCTCATTTCTTCATTCCACATTTTCTCCTCAGTTCCTCCTTATTTACTCATTCCTTCCATTTTCCAGTCTTTAAAACCTTCTTCCATCTTGATATCCCAATCCATTTCCCTCTGACGAGTCTATCCTTCCCTATATCATAATAAAGCCCTGGCCCTGTGTCTCTTCTGGGTTCCAGTAGCATGGAGGACCGTTGTTGGCCAATGTGGATGGGGACTTCGTCTGCTTGAGCTGGCTCTGAATGAGGGAGGTCTGAGCTCTAGACAAGTTGCAGAGGTGGGGGTGGATGAGGGACAACAGTGGGAAACCTGATTAATTCCCCTCTATCTGTACTAGCTCCTGAACTGTCAAAGGGCAAACACGGTTTGTAAGTATTAATTTCTTTCAAAGACAACACGAGCTACTCCTGCCTAAGTAATGTGTGTTCCTCCAATAAACATAGTGTTGACCCTACTCCTTATAATGACCATGGCCATGTGCTGCATACCTGTGTCTCCTGAGCTGTCACCTTGAAATTCCTTTTCTTTATACTCCTGTGTTAGCACTACCATTTTTTATATTTTTTATATCCCATATCCTACCCTTTCTTGGTTTTTACCCCCTTTTTGATGGAGCATAGCCTTGAGTAAATTCCTCATAAAGGGTTCATGAAAAGGAAATTCCCTGAGTCTTTAAATGTCTGAAAATATCTTTACTTTTGCCCTCATATATGCTTGGTAGGTTGACCAGGTAAAATTCTAGGTTACAGATCACTTCCTTCAGAAATTTGTTCCATTATCTTTGGACATCCATTGCTGCTGATTGGACGTGTGATGCCAGTCTGATTCTCATTCCTTCGCAGGAATGTCCTATTTTTTCTCTCTCTCTGGGAACTTGTAGGAACTTGTCTTTCATCTTCTGAAATTCCATGATGATGTATCTAAGAATGGTTCTCTCTGCATCCCTTTGGCTCCCTTTCAATCTGAAGATCTGTGTCTTTCCAGCTCTGGGAAATGCTCATCTGTGATCTCTCTTCTGTCTTTCTGGAACTCTAACCTGTTGGGTGTTGGACCTCCTGGATGTTGACCTCCTGTGTTTTCAGTCCTTTTTTCTCATTTTCAGTTTCTGTCTTTTTGGTCTCTATTCTGGGAAATTCCCTTTACTTTTAAATCTCCAGCCCTTCTATCTAATACTTATTTTAGCAATCATATTTTTAAGAGCTCTTAAGAGAGCTTTTCCTTGTTCTGTTGTTGTTGTTGTTCTTTTTTGAAAGCCCTCTGTTCTCATTTTATGAATACAATATGTCCCCCTGACTTTCTCAAGATATTACTAATCAAAAGTTTAAAGCTTATGTATCTTCTATTTCCTGGGTTAGCTCTGTTTCCTAAAAGAGAACTTTATTTCTATTTTTGTCTATTTTTAATCTTATCTTTGTTTATGTCTTTCATGTTACTGGTTTTCTTCATATGTACAGTGATCTCTGATTAATCCTATTTTAAAGGAAAGGCAAGGCTGATTTTTCCAGGGAGCAGATGTGGGTTACCTTTGTTGTGATTATATACAGGTATCTTTGCCCACTAGGTCTCCCACGTGAATAAGAAGTTGAGTTGAGTATGTAGCACAGATGAGCAGGCAGAGGGGCAGCCTTTAGGCTGAGAGCTCTTAAATCCTAGAATTAGAAGAGCTTTACTTTGGGATGCCATCTCACACCTGAGCAGCCCTGATTCTCTCAAGGGAGTTCCTTTTTTTTTTTCCTTAAGTGGGAAAGAAAACCCTCTCTATGTTATTTGGGGAATAGATGCATGAATGCCTCTACACTGTATTTGTGGGAAAGGATGGAGGAGAACTGGTCTCACACTATAGCTCCCTCGTATACTTTAAGCTGCAGCTTCTCGGCTCCACTTAATCTATCAACACACTTCAATCTGCATTCCATCTTCCAAAGTTTTTTTTGAAATCTCCTCTGCTGCTGATCCTCCCATTTTGTTTATTGTTATGAGGCTTTTCCACTTTACTAGTCTTTACTATAATTTTATTAGGGCCTTGGGGGAGAAGGAAGATTAAAATATGTTCTCAGAATACCATCTTGAAACAGACATGCTCATAATATTTTTTTTCTCTTTGCTAGCTCTTTCTTGTGGGCTTCCTGAGGCCCCCAAGAATGGAATGGTGTTCGGCAAAGAGTACACAGTGGGGACCAAGGCTGTGTACAGCTGCAGCGAAGGCTACCACCTCCAGGCAGGTGCCGAGGCCACAGCAGAGTGTCTGGAGACAGGCCTTTGGAGCAACCACAATGTCCCCCCACAGTGTGTCCGTGAGTCCTTGGGCAGAGAAGATGGGTATAAGGAGGGGCTGGGTATGTAGCTGAAAAGATTCCTGCAAGGAGTGAGCTAAAAACCCAGTAATGAGAAAAAAAGCAGGTACATGGAGGTTGGGGATTTGGGAAACAGACAGGTGGAGAGTGTCATCTACCAAGTTGGGCTCCCATTTGAAATTGCTCTCAATGCATTGATAGACCATTGCACCCTGAGATGTTTCCATAAACCATCACAGAACTTAGGAATAAGTTCCTTTTAGAAGGAAAAACTACCAGAACATTTGTGCGAATGTCCTTTGATCACAAAACTCTAAAATGTTTTATATGCAACTGATGAATTACTGAACTCTACATCTGAAACTAATGATGTATTATATGTTGGCTAATTGAATTTAAAGAAAAAAAAAATGATGTTAGTTGGAAAAAAAAAAAAAAAAAAAAAAAACCTCTAAAATGACAGAGGTTCAGTTCAGCTTTAAGGCCGGAGTCACAAACTTGGAGCCTACGGGGCCATATTGAGTTTGAAGATACAGGGTTTTGTACTTTTGATTTGTTTTGTTTTGTTTCTTTGACCTATGGTATGCTTTATGAAATTTCTGAATTGCCTCCCAACATTTTAAAATTGGGAGAGTTTACATAAAAAAAATCCATATTTCTGGATTCTCTTGAAAAATAAAGATCTGACTAAAGAGAAATTACAAGGTTCACATCTAACAATCAGCACTGATTACCACCTCCCCTTTTTTTTCTTTTCTTTCTTTTCTTTCTTTCTTTCTTTCGTTTTCTTCCTTCCTTCCTTCCTTCCTTCCTTCCTTCCTTCCTTCCTTCCTTCCTTCCTTCTTTTCTTTTCTTTTTGGTGGGTCTGCCCACCCCAGTTTGTTTTGTTCCTCCCCACCCCATTCCCAGCCCACTTCATTCATTTAACAAACCTGCCTGGCGACTCAAGATTCTTATTACTGCATTACAGTCTCCCAGTCCCCAGTTCTGGACTCTTCCCAGTGTCTTCCATAATTAATTAATTAATTACTCCTCCTCGCTGCTCCTTGTCTCCCCAGCTGTGACATGTCCTGATGTCAGCAGCATCAGCGTGGAACACGGCCGATGGAGGCTCATCTTTGAGACACAGTACCAGTTCCAGGCCCAGCTGATGCTCATCTGCGACCCTGGCTACTACTACACTGGCCAAAGGGTCATCCGCTGTCAGGCCAATGGCAAATGGAGCCTCGGGAACTCTATGCCCACCTGCCAAAGTAAGCCCAGTAGGGGAGGGTGGGCATGTTTGGCACAGTGCCTTCCACTTGAACTATACCATACATGGGGAAGGAGAGAGGGGGGTATCACCAGGGATGGCAGTGTACCTCTTTTTGAACACTCACCTAAAATCAGGAGCTGGTACTTCCTTTAAGGAAGTACTTCTCAGCGTCTTACCATCTTATTAAAAAGTTGCCTTTGTCCAAGTGAGTATCCACTCATTCACGTGTTCAACATTCATGCCAGGTATTATAGCAGTATGAAGATAAAAGGCTGTGGTTCCTGTCCCAAAGAAGCTTATAGTCTGCTGGAGAGGCAGACAAAATAAGGAAGCAATGATAATGGGGTGTGACAAGACCTGTAATGAGAGCGTATATAGAAGGAATGGGTAGAGCACAAGGGGTAGGCACCTAAGTGTCTGCCTCTCCTTCTGTATTATTGTTTTTGTTTGTTTCTTCAAGATAGTTTCTAAGGTCAGGGTCCCTGGGAAGCACCTCTGAGACAGGTTTATTAGGGAGTACCCTTAAGATCTCCGCCATCTGTGTAAGGGAAAGTGAGGAGGCAGTACTGGGAAGATGGCACAGTTGACCTCTGATACAATATCAGTGTGGCCCTCCACTGACCCCACAGGGAGCTCTGAAGCTGGGATGGTCCTTCAGAACTGCCACAAGTTGGGGCTAGAGGCCTTTATACCTACACATTGACCAAACATTGGGTACAGGATACCTCAGGAAGAAGCATGATCTAGATGGGAGGACTCTTCAGCTAAAGCAGTCTGAAGAGGGTGAGCAGCTGAGGGTTGTTTGCCAACAGCTGGGGAAAAAAATCCTCCCATCCTAAATGGGGTCTGAGTGGCCCATCCCAGCACCTGCTACAATGGGATATACTCATGATATTGACTTAATCAGTAAGGATGTGATAGAGGAGGTGGGTGTTTGTAATGGGGTAGAAGAGAATAACTTGTCAGTGAGGAGTGGAAATTTTGAGACTGGATGGGAGAAGAAGTGATATCTTACCTACATCTATGATTCAAGTCACTATTGTCTTTAGACATCCAAGTTTAGACCCCACCATGGAATATAACCATGTGTGTGGCAGAGCAGAAGTCATGAGCATGTAACAGCTTCATCACAATGAAGGCTCTCACACTTGATGCAGCCTTGGCCATTGGGCCTCACCTCCCACACCAGCCATGGCTATATGCAGTGCTCTGTTGGGAAGGAGTGGGAGGCTGGGGCTGCTCTCAGCAGAAAGGACAAGGGACTCAGTTGGAAACCCAGGGCACCACAGAATCTCCACCTCTAGTGTGGTGGTTCCTAACCAGAGTACCATCTGAACCGCCTGAGGAACTTTTCTTAAAAATGCATATGCCTGGGCCTTATCTCAAGAGATTGTGGGTCATAGATCCAGAGTACAGCCCGAGCATTTTAGAAGCTCCTTGGGTCCTTTTGGCAATACTTCAGTTGAGAGTCACTGCTCCAGTGTAACACCATGCAGGTCACTCCCATGCCCCCACATTCTGCTCATGAGTCCCAATAAACTTAAACAGGTCTCATTTTTGTCATTATTCTTACTGCTCAGAAGCAGCACATGTCCCTCCTCTTGGGGTTGGCTTTTCACTGAGCACTTTGTGATCATTTTAGTCATCTCCTGTGGAGAGCTCCCCATCCCGCCCAGCGGGCACCGAATTGGAACACTGTCCGTCTATGGGGCGACGGCCATCTTCTCCTGCAATTCTGGCTACACACTGGTGGGCTCCAGGGTGCGGGAGTGCATGGCCAATGGGCTCTGGAGTGGCTCCGAAGTTCGCTGCCTTGGTGAGTGACCTCCCCAGACCTATCCTGCCCATTTTTCCCTCCGTAAGACAAGTTAGAGCTTTCTAAAGCTGGATCCCAGTCTTTAAAAGCATCATTTTACCTATAGCATAAAATGCTTAATCCAAACACCAGCTCTTGGACATCCACCATGACTAAGACCCTGAACTTGCTTCTCTTGGGGCACCCAAGAAGATGAGAAGAACTTCAGGTCTGATGAGACAAAGTTTTATTTATATATATATACACACATACGTATACATATGTATAGAAGGAATGTATACTTACATATAAACATATATGCGTGTACATATAGACATACATATACATATATGTGTATTACACATATATATACATACATATATACATATACATACATATGTATATACATGTACATACACATATATATGTATAAAATAAGCAAATGACAAAAGCACAAAAACAACCTGGCTTACAAAGACAGAGTTATCATTTCCCCCATGGCCAATCCATTCCCTACCAAACCTTAGATTCTAAGGTATTCTCTCCTCTCACTTCTTTCTTGGATCCCTCAAGTCCAAAGGAGGGTCCCAGCTACAGAGACCTAACAGCGTAGATTGGATGGTCTGTTCCATAGTGAACAGTGCTGCCCTTCCACTGTCCCAGGCCTCTTTTAGGGATACAGTCATGAGTTATTTCCAGAGAGAGCCAAGAATGCCAGTGGAAATGCTAGGAATATACTCTACCCAAACCCCATTTAATAGAGTAACTCACCTAGGTTAAACTCTCTGTGTCTCCTGCCACTCAAGGAGAAGGAAGGATGGATTTAGCCAAACCACCTATTTGTGCATAGTTATTTTCAATTCCACTGGGTTTTGATGGCCTTAATGTAGACCGAGGTGCCCTCCACGCAGTAGATGCTCCATCAATGCTGGTTGATGAAAAAAAAAAAGGAGATAATCCCAGAGGCAGGGAGGTGACAGTGATCATTTCCAACCTGCGGACAGACACAGAAACTACAGCCCAGAGATGGGTGGCCTTTGGGGATTCAACCTTGGGATTTGGGCTTGCCACTTGCATCATGTCTAGGATTCCTGAAGCTGTTCCTGGATGGCTACTCTCGGGGTG